CCGCCTCACGTGGGGCATTTCTCACCCCTCATACAGAGTCACCCCTCATGCTGAGGACTGTGACTCCATGTCTATGTATGAGGGAGGGAGGGAGGGAGGATGCTCAGAGTGCGGCCAGCCTCTCCAGACAGCGGTATGACCGTCAGTCTCTTCTGCTGCGCTGTGGACGGAACACGGGGATGTGTTCGTCAGGAGGGTGGTTGGACAGCAGCAGCAGCAGCAGCAGCAGCATCGACAGCAGCAGCAGCATCATCAGCACCATCATCACCATCATCATCATCACTGCCACCGAGCCTGGCGTTAATGACAAGGATTCTTTAACGCAAACCAAGTGCACAGGAATGTGCACAAGTCTGCGGGGCTGCGCTCCGACGTCGTAAAGCGACATTTTGGATTCGTCTCTTTTTTTGTGGTTGTTTGTAAACACACAAACCCACGTACATTTTTTTTATTATTTATTTACGTTTTATCTGTGCGTGGGTGGAGGGAGTGATTGTCTTTGGAACAATTCAAACTTCTACCATGGCACTGGTGATGGAGCCCGTGAGCAAGTGGAGCTCTGGTCAAGTGGTGGAGTGGATGAAAGGTGAGGCTGCACACACACACACACACACACACACACTGCTGGTGTGCAGTGTATCGCGCTCCAGTGCGTTTCAACACTGGAGATGCCAACAGACAACAAAACACCTGCTGAGCCCCGGGTGTTCGCCTCCTCACTCGTCTCCTAAAGCCTTATTTATCACTGCCTTAAATCATCTCGTCGACCCCTTCCTTCCTCCCCCCCCCCCCCCCCATCAGAGCAGGCAGCATCAACGTGGAGACGACTTGTCTTCACACACTAACATCTGATTTCCCTCCCAGAGCCTGAAAACACCCAGGAAACACAAGACGCTGTAAAACCTCTATTGTGTCCTGCAGTCGGTGCTGTTAACTCACGGCGGTCTGCCTCCTGTTTGGGATCCGACAAAACACAGTGGAGATCCAGACAAATATTTAGTTTTTATTCCCCCCCAGATCCGCATTAACGACCTGTTCCAAGTTGGAAGTTCCCTGACCGTCTATGCAACACAGACAATAAGATCTTCTAGTTTCAATTTATTCACAATTCACTGTCTTAGTGTGAAACCTGAGCCTCTTTAGTTGAACACGACGCCACTGAAACCTGAGCCTCTTTAGTTGAACATGACGCCACTGTACTGGTAGGAATTGAAGAAAGGCACAGTTTTTGTTTTTTTATAGCCACCTGCTGTCACCTAGTGGACGAGTATTAAATTGTTTTGCCCAATGATGCTCTATAGAGGAATTACAGTAAATAAATAGTACATTTTAGGCAAATTAGGAGCAAGATATTTGTAATGACAAATAACAAAAGCTGATTGGTTAACAGAAAAAGCAGTGATATAATTCTATTATTCTTTGTGACCCTAACAATGTGTGAATTTACAGAAACGGTTTATGAACAAACAGCACATGCTCCACACCCCCACCCCCTGCAGGGGGTGCTCTAAAGGCAATTTTGATGCCCTGGTACAATATAGTTGTTTATTTATTTCAATAATACGATAATATTACAATGTAGCTTTGCAGACTTTTGATTGGCTGAATGAACTTGTCAATGTCTAGGTAATAATCTTTGGACATTTTTATTTATTTTCTGATCACCTTGCAGAGATTTCCATTTTCTAAATGTTTTTGTGACATGTTGGTTCTGGTGGTGATGGTCCCTGACGATGGTGCCGTCCCAGCTGCAGCGCAGGGATTAATGCACAGCTGTTACAGAGAATTTATGGTCCGTACGTTTGGAGGAGTTTTCCTGAGCTGTGCTGTGTGTCGGTGAAGGCAGCGTGTCGTCATGACGAATGTGCTGAACACCAGAGGAAATGTTGACCTCAGTGGGGGGCGCTGTCCACAGCTGTGTGTTTTTACATCTTGACTAAAATTGCTCCTGTAGCTGCTGTTATCGTGTGTGTGTGTGTGTTTTGTTTGGCTGAGCCACGTGCTCACGTGTCAGGCCGGCAGCCCTTCAGAGATGCTCCAGATGAAATGTACACAGAGATATTTACTGCCTCAACACACACACACACACACACACACACACACACACACATGAGTCATGGTAATTCCACCCTGCGGGCTGCTCTTCTGTTGATTCAGACCTGTATGATTGCAGAGGTTCAATTGCTCCTGAATCTAACGGTGCTTTGGAAACAACAAACGCTCCCCGGCGGACGTTTGCCGTCTTCCTCCTCAGTGGAGCTACAGAGGGAGTGATGGATGGATGGGTGGATGGATGGGTGGATGTGGAGAGAGGAGCCAAGACAGAACGGCCACACTGATTAAGAGGAGATTTAGGATGTGTAAATAAGCCTGTAGCTGGAGCAGGAGGCGGGGGTAATAAATGTTCCGTCGGAGCCGCGGCTCCTCGGTGCCCCACATCTGAAGTGGAGCAGCGGAGCTGTTTCCTGTGCCCTCGGCCCAGTAATGGGAATTTAAAGTGAGGGGCAGAGTGGCACTGAGGGACAGCGAGGAAGAAAGAGCAGAGAGACAGAAAGGGAGGGGGAGGAAAGGGGGGAGGAGGGGGTGGTGGTGGCCTGAGAGCTCCTAAGGAATGGCAGCGTTTAGCCCGTAGCATTCACGCTGTCCATTATTAGCATAGAGCTCCGTGATGTCACCAGAGGCCAAACAGGGGCCCCGTGACCCCTCGGTGGAGTCGCGGTGCGGCTCCACATCCCCCCCAGTCTGGGTTTTGTGTGAGCTTTATTCCCAGCTGCAACAAAAGAAGCTTCAAAGAAAAGAGAAAAGAATCTCAGTTCCCACTGGAAATGTGTGTGTGTGTGTGTGGACAAAGTGCACAGTCGCTGAGAAAACACACGTTTTGGAGCCAGTGTTTGGTTTTCATCTCCTTTCATTCCTTGACACTTGTTATTGCAGTTTTTTTCGTTTCATTTCTTCGTCAATAAAAAGTCAGACCAGTAGAAATCCATTATAAAGAATATCTGGCCTCTCGTCACATTAGCAGCAGATTATCTGGGTTAGAGACTAGACCTTTAATGTGTGTGTGTGTGTGTGTGCGCTGCTCCATATAATCCAGTGAGTGATCAGTGCAGCAGCTCTGGTCGGAGGAGGAGAGGCGAAATACAAGTAGTAAAGTTAATTAAACGTTAAAGTTTTTATCATTCCTAACTGAGGGGAAGTGGAGGACAAACAGTGGACGACGACTGCAGGGCTGCAGAAATTGAGTTTGTTATTTTTATCCTCCCTGAAAATTATTTTTTCCATCACGATAAGGGAAAGCAGAACTTTTTTTTTTCAAATTTCCAGACTTTTGAGACTTTATTTCAGCTTCATTTCTTTTTCTTTAAGGCCTTA